TCTCTCTCTCTCTCTCTCCCCTTCTGTGGTCCTTTCTTCTGTCCTTCCTGCCCTCCCTTTTTTATTTTTTTAATGCTTTGGTTAATAGTCAGGTACTAATTCCTTTTTAAACTCCAAATTGAATAAATTCTTTCTAGATGAACACAGTTTCAGGACAAAATCCTGTCTTCTCAACACAACACAAGGAGAAGAAACCAAGCAAGGAGGTCTGTTGTCTTGTGGTTCAATCAAGCCACCTCCTTCCTCATCAGAATTTCAACTCAAGGAGAGAGAGTGTGGAACCAAAGGCTCATCCAAAGTTCTAGTTCAGCACTTCAGAGGCCCCTCCGAGGGGGTCAGGGCTGGAGAGGCTTCACACCCCTCTGCGACGGACGGCAGGGTCTTCAGCAAAGTTTAAACCCGAACCCTAAAGAAAACACAGAATGATTACAATAACTCAATTAAAGAAACACTGAGCTGAAACTAAGCAAACAAAATGGAAATGATCGTGTTAATATCAGAATTCGAGGTAAATCAAAAGACAGATAAAGGAAAAGAGACATTTGATATAGGTAGAAAAAAACGGTTTTAGAACACTTACTTGCCTGTAATTCCAGGACTTGGGAGGTGGTCGTAGGAGAATCAGGAGTTCAAGGTATATATCTTGGCTCTAAATTGAGTTAATGGTCAGCCTGGATACCTGAGAAATAAGATATTTAGTCATTCAAAGCAAGACACTGATCTCTTTGCAAAGATGAGTAGAGATGAAGGTTACTGGAGCAGCCGTGGGACAAGCCTGCCACACAGCCCAACATTGACTATGGCTTCCTGATTTTTAGGCCATAATTGAATCTTCTGACTCTCTTGGTACTACTAATCTTCCCACAAGTACAAATACCTAAAACTAGTCCAAGACAGAAAGGAAGTGACCTACCTTCCACCAGTGGAAACTGGACCCAGCCTTAGTTGCTCCAGCACAAGGGAGATACTTCCTCCTCTGGAAGTTGCCCTCTCCACAAAGCTGAGTCCCGAGCACCCTGGCTTTATACTGCAGCAGGTCTGTGATACAATCAGCACGCACCCACCTACTGCACACACAGACCTATCACCTGGCTCCTCAGCTCCCTTAACCCACGCCCACTTCACTGCATTTAGCCGATTCAATCAAATCTTAGAGATTGAAAGTCAAAGGGAGGGTAAAAGGGAGAAACAGGAATATATTGAAGAAAATATCAATGGCAATATGCTAATATCAACCATGTCTATAGAATCATCAGGAATGTTTTTTATTTACTCTAGCTGGAAGTCAATCACAGAGCTACATAGATAGCTATGACAGTTGGAGAGCTGAACCCAGGAAATGTGGAGTCTGACAGCTCTGTAATCTTGCGGGGGAATTTATTTTGTGTTTGTATCATTCACTCGGAACCTAATAAAAAGTAATAATGAACTCAAAGTTTGAACAAGTAGGCAACTGTGATTATATTATCTGAAGCAATCACAAAACGAATGAACGGAAAACACGTATTAGTATACATAAAACAGTCACCAAAATGTATCAGTGCTGAACTACAAATATTTGTTAATGTCGTAGATTCAACACTGAGCAGTTTTTCCACAACGAAACAAAACTGAAAGTCAACAGTAAGAGTGGGAATCTGGTCCTATCTCTGTGGAATTCAATAGACACCTTTCTAGAAGTCCATTCAGCTTTATGAGCAACTCAAAACCAACGAAACCAAAAGTGCTGCTGAAGACGTTTCGGACACAGAATCTGGAACAATGGAGCTGGAACTGATTTGGAAGCCACTTGCCCTGAAGGCTAGCTCTCATAGCTTTGGAGAGCACTATGCAAATTGCTAAGAGAGAACCTTAATTGATGGTCCAGCCCCAATTTGAAGACCAAATAACCACATCAATGACCAGCACAATAAAGGACATTGGTACAGTAGTGGCACTTATCTTGGGGATGGATCAGTTAGCTACCTAATTGGACTTAAAGTCCACTCAGTGGGAGGAAACTCATGTTTGGTACTATAAACCTAGCTGTGCTCATAGCTTTAGTGTCAACTTGACACACCCAGGTAGAGGGAGCCTCAACTGGCGAATTGCCTCCATTGGACTGGCCAGTGGACATGTCTATGGGGTATTTTCTTAATTGTTGAGTGATGTGGGAGGGCCCAGGCCACTATACGTGATTCCACTCTTGGGCTGTTGGGCCTATGTTATGTAAGAAAGCGGGTGAGAAGGGGCCAGGGGAGCAGCCAGTAAGCAGCATTCTTCCATGGCCTGTGCTTCAGCTCCCGCCTTCGGGTTCCTGGCCTGAGCTCCTACCTTGGGCTCCCTGATGAACTGTGACCTGGGACATATAAGACAAACCTTTTCCTCCATAAGTTGCCATTGGTCAGAGTGTTTTGTCACAGCCATAGAGAAACAAAGTAGAACACTAGCCAAATACCCATAGCTGGAGAGTTCATAGATCTTAGAGAAAACTCCAAGGCTGTCACATATCTAGACAAATGTAATTTCTTACTATGTGTAAAATATGGATCCTTAAATGTATAGACAAGTATCCCAGTCACCACCCACCAAAGAAGCTTCTTTTTCAAGAGACAGAGATAATTATAAAGCTCCACAACTGGTCACACACAGAGATTTTCTGTGAATTGCCCAAGTCTAAGTGGCACATCTAGGATGCAACCTCTAACCCTAAGGATCACGGAACGTAGAACAAGGGATGAAGAGAACTGTAATGCATCTTTCAACTCTCATCAATGAAGCTCCCTCATACAACAGAGGGCCAGGACCACAAAAGGTCACAAATGGCCAAAACACAGAGAATAAAAGTCTGCAGAGTGTGGGTCTTTGGACAGGACTCCTATATTAAAATCCACCCACCCAGGGCTCAGGGACCATTATGGAATAGGGGGTGGAAAGATTGTAAGAGCAAGGGAGGAGGTGCAGGACCATACAGGAATAGTCCTACAGGTGCCTGGGACCTTGCTCATATGAACCTACAGCAATGGTGTCAGCAGGCACAAGACCCATGCAAACTTAAGCAGACAAAAACCCAGCACAGAACTGTGGAAATTAACAGCTGGTCCCAATCTTAGTCCAAGAATTATTGGCAGCTGATTACTGCTGGGTAAGGAAGAGCTGATCTTCTTAAAGGGAGGGATTCTAGATAGGCTGACTAGACCCCAGTGAATGAGCTTGCTTTGGGATGTCTGAGGACACTGACTTTACATGATAGGCCTTAACACAAATGATAGACTGTATGAACATGGGGCGGGGGGTATGGGAGGGTGCCAAAGGGGAAGGGGTATAAAGATAATTTTATGTATGAAATACAAAAAATCAATTAAAAATTTTTTAAAGTAAATGAAGTATAAACTAATGATTCAATGATAAGCAAGAGAAAACAAATTTGAGATGATCAAGAAAACTGAAGTCTGATACCTTTAAAGAAAAAGAGAGCCCTGACAGTACTGAGGGAAAGTTCTTATACCTGGACAAGAAATCTCTGAGTAGAGCATCTTCAGTGGATGATAATAGGAATGCTAGACTCCACAAATACATTGGTGGTGTCTATGAAAGGAGCCAAACCCATGCAGCAGATAAGCTGGTGGTGATGAGAGCTTGATTAAATGTCTCCTGACATCTGTGATGACCCCAAACTTCCCAGCCTGTCTAAGCCTAATTTAGAGCCCAGCAGCAGGTAGTCTACAGAACACCAGACCATCACTCTCCAAAATCAAGTTTTTGCACAATTGTGTCCGAAGCCTGGGAAGCTAACAGAACCAAGGACAACTTCAGAGACTTGAGAACTCTGTGACCTGGTATTGAAGAGAGGTTGTCACAGGAGAAAGACCAGCTGTAAGTGAAAACTAGGAAAATCTAGTGAATCCAAATCTAGTGACTCTAAATAAATAAGTAAATAAATAATAAATCTAATACTTTGATTAAAAGTAGTGTGTATGTATTCATGAATTTTAATTTTAGGCATGTTTTCATTTATCCCAGACTGGCATCAAACTTACTTTACTCCCGTGGTCCCTGTGTTCTCATCAGTTCTGGTTTTCTGGCAGCCGTTTCCCCTGTGTGGCTCTGCCAGTGAGCGGAGTCTGGGGCAGGGGACAGAGTATATCTCAGAAGAGTGTGATTGATCAGCAAGCAATGACTGGACACCCAAAGGGAGAAACAGGGCGCTTGTGCAGAGGCCAGCAGGAAACAGCCTGCAAGTCCCACTCTGACTGCCATGAAGGGATGGGGGTTGACCAGAGGCCTCCAGCACAAAGTGAGCCAGGTGGCAGTTCCAGCCACAGGAAAAGCCCGTGTTCTCACAGGGCTCCAACGCAGTGCAGGAGATGTGGAGTGAGGTGACAGGGCTTGGGCAGTGGGCACTGATGACCATATCCCTGCCGTATGTCTGACTATAGCCAGAGCATATTGTTTGAGAAGGAGACGTTTTGGAGACAGGAAGCAAGAAATAATCACATACAAGAGACCTGGGACACCCTTTGAAAATGTCTGGTGGGAGCACCTTGAGAGGCAGTTACAGGGAGAGAAGAGGAATGTGGCCACTGAGCAGAGAGAAGCATAGAGTTGGTGGTGGAGGGCACCAGGCTGGGTGGCTCCTCTCTGCAGAGAGAAGTCAGCTTATCCCTTGCGTGTTGCTGCCAAGCGAGAGCGTGCAGTGTGCCAGCAAATGGCTCCACAGAGGGCGCCCCCAGCCCCACCACCAGGCAGAACTGAGAGCCCTGAGCCTAGGACCAGCGGATCTCTGGCTGTCCTCCTGACCGCCCGGAGCAGCTTTCAGCCCTTTGAAAACACTAAGAATCATGTCCCTGAATCAGTTTCTACCAGAGCCCATCACTTGCCATGCCTGGAACCGGGATAGTACCCAGATCACT